TTATAGTCACAGTATTCACTCACTGTGCCATCAGGGATTCGCTAGCTTAGCTTGGCCTGTAGCCAACTCACTAGCAGCATGGCCCTTTCACCTGTACGTCCTGCACTTTCTTGCTCATTGTGTCAGATGACTTTTCTTACTTTTGTGCTTAATTATGCCTTAGCCTCCTTTAGAAATAATGATACTTGCAATAAATGTAGACTATTTGCAGCTCTGGAGGCCAGGATCACAGAATTGGAGACTCTGCTTCGCACCCTTAAACATCCCATAGCTAGCAAGGCCCCTTTAGCCCAGCAAAGCAGTGTTTAATATTAACCTCTTACTACTGTTTCTTGATTTCTTGATTTGTGTTTATTTCTTCCTAGCACAACAAAAACATTTCAGTTTTAGTAAAGAAATAACAAAAATGACACTACATATTATTACCGCCAGTACATTTTTAATATTCTGATAATTCTAACAACAGTTCACCTCCGAACACTCAAATAAAAATGTTGTTAAAAAACTTAATTACCTTTAACAGCTTGAGGTTCTTCTTGAATTTCACTCTTGGTCCAGCTTTTGGGATCAAATTATCAATTTCTCGATCATCAAGGACACGCAGACTTTCTGCATCGATTTGTTCATCTGTAATTAAAAATAAAGTTGCAGAGATAAAGATTATTCTCAACTTGCTTTAGAAATTCTTGTTCAATGAGTGACAAAGCAATGGGCATAGTTATATGAGCTGTTTCACAGTTAACAGATCACATCAGGATCAATATCTGTACCGATCATGGATTCACGTTAATACTTTACCTTTAAATTTCTCCACCCACTCACTTAGCCCCCATTCAGCCAGTTTGTTTCTTACGAAATCATCCATGACAAGGAAGTGAAACTGTAAGATAAACTGTGATGTTTAACCAGACAGTACTGCTTTACAGGTTAGACATTTGTGATCAACTTCTCCTTTAATGCACATATAATCAGAGACAGTGATATTAAATTCAGATTAAAAGTTCAAACAGTTCACCTTTTGTTAGAAGTAATGCGGAAAAGGCTGCTGAGGGAGATAATAATGGATTGGATTTATATAGCGCTTTTCAAGGCACCCAAAGCGCTTTACAATGCCACTATTCATTCACTCTCGCATTCACACACTGGTGGAGGCAAGCTACGGTTGTAGCCACAGCTGCCCTGGGGCAGACTGACAGAAGCGAGGCTGCCATATCGCGCCATCGGCCCCTCTGGCCAAAGTGTAGGTAAAGTGTCTTGCCCAAGGACACAACGACCAGGAGGGAGAGCCCGGGGATCGAACCGGCGACCTTCTGGTTACAGATACGCTTCCCAACCCCCTGAGCCACGGCCGCCCCGATGTGAAGTAAGCAGTGAGACACAGACAGAAAACAGGCGGGAAGAAAGCAAAAAGTCTGAAAACAGGTTAAAAACAAGTTAAAAGCAAACTGGAACTGTGTGGCTCAGACTGCACAATTGCAGCTGCATCTATACATTTAATAGAAAGGTAAATCCAACATGAATAAAGCGGATGCAGGGTAAAGCAGAACTGAGAACAGAGAAGAGCAGGAAGAGGTGGTGTTTGTGCAGGCCAGATGGAAGTGACTGAGAGAGGGGGGTAACAACCTCCCCAGACCAATATAATCCAATAGTAACGTAGTAACGCTATACTGAGTCCTTCAATTACTTGACATTGTAATCCAACACAGCACAAATAGAGAATAAATGCAGTTTGGAAAGGAAGGCACTTTTGTGCTATTTTAATCACATAATCATATGATTATGTGACAAAATAGCACAAAAGTGCTAAACTACATTTATTCTCTATTTGTGTTGTGTTGGATTACAATGTCAAGTACCGGTAATTGAAGGACTCAGTATAGCGTTACTACCTTACTATTGGATTATATTGACACGACCCAAAGAAGTGCAACTTCCTGCCTGGATGTGCCAATCCTCTGCTCTCTCATTACTCTCAAGATCAGTATTAGAAATTTGCATTATCTCGGAGTAGAATAATTAGTTAAGTATATTAAGTAATTATTATTATTTAATACATCCTTTGCTTTGCTCCTGCTAAATAGCTTTAATAAAATATCCTGCATTCAAAAAGTCTAAAGTAAAGAGCACAGAAAAAGTGGTTGTATGAATGGGCGTGAATGGGGCAAGTTGTCCAAAGCCCAACTTAAGATGGGCAGCAACAGTACCTCAACTGAACATAATGTCACTGGAAACAGAATAAAAAAATATTTCTGACAAAATACTTATAGACGGAGTCTGAGTTTGATAGAAAAATACACACAGTTTAAAAACCAAATATAAACAGTTCGGCTAATATGACACTTTTGGTTCAATCCTTTTTTTTCCCCTTCAGTTCTAACACCTCCACCCATTTTGTGGATGAAAGAGTTATTTTAGCCACAGAACATCTGATATGATTTTCTTGGCTGTGCGGACCAATCAGTTTCAGTTTATACTGTTTATTCTTGTGCTCTGTGTGCAGCTGGATTTGCTAGTTCACAGACTTTATAGAGCGCATTGGATCATGACAAGAGGAATGCAATGTACACTTTATCTCTTACACCCTAAACCTCCCCACCCCCAACTTCCTGGCGCATCCCACAGCCCTGGAGAATGTACGTCCCAAAATGTTTGACTCTAACTCTATATTCAGATAAACTTTTATTGAATTCAAATGAAAAGTTTAAACTACTTACCTTTGGTTTAAAGTAATGCAGAAAAAGACAGTTGACAATAAAAGAAATAAATGAACAAAAAGTTAAAAAAAACAAAATAAAATAAAAACAAAATGCAGGGAGGCACACACTGGAAAAAAAAAAATCTAGCAAAAAGTCCAAAAACAATCTGGGACTCGGTTTTGCACAAGGTGTAGTTGACTGTTTGGCAAAAGGCAAGTGAAAGTGGATCTCTACATATAATACAACGCTAAACCTAGACAGAGTAAAGTGGGTGTGCAGGGAAAAGCAGAGCTGAGAAAACAAAAAAAAGAGGATAGGGAAGGCGCAGAAGAGGTGTTGATGCATGTAGAAAGCGGTTTTGTTTGGTATCAAACAAATCGAATGGATTAAAGTTTACAGATTAAAAACAAAATACAAGAAATAAAGAACACTGTCTTATATAAGTATTTAACACAAATTGTTGATAAAATCGCACAATTATGTCCCGTTTTCTAAGCTTCATTCCGTACTAACAAACAGAGGCGTCATAAGGATGAGAAAAGTGATAACATGAGCGCTAGAAAAATAGTAAACCGTCAATTACTTTTACTTTTGAAAATATTAACATATTACAATAAAGGGATGTTTGTTTCATAAGGTATTTGACCTTACCACTCCTCTCTTCTAGAATTAATGTCGTTTTGTCATTGCCAACAAATAATGAAATCTAGTCAGCGTCTGACATCGCCTCCCCTCCTTATTTCATGATTTGGTTCGGTCCAGTGCGCCAGGCTGAGCGCCAGAGCACTAACAGATCCGGTTCATAAGAGAGAGAGAGACAGATGGAAATAATAAGAAGATAACGAAGTCCATATGAAGGAAACTGCTCGAAATTCCTGGTATTTGTAATGTGTTGTATTGTGGCGGGGAAAGAAACAAAAACAAACAAAGCAAAACAAAGGAAAGCCAAACAATAATGGTTATAAAATAAAATAAAAAACCCCTGTATGTTAAAAAAGGAGTAAGAAGCAGCTCTGGAAGAAGCATAAGCTTTTTTTAATCCCACCCCCTTTCCACCACTACTAATAATCAACACGTTTTCTTCCTATTTATCCATCAGAAATTCTTCCTTACAATTTGTTTGATGTGTTTGCTTTTATAACCCCAGTAACACGTCAAAACATATACAAATTCACAGATATATAAAGTTATATAAACATACTTGTGCGTGCGTGCAGTGTTTAATATTAACCTCTTAAACGTGTATTAAAATTGTATTTGTCATATGGACATTTAAGAACTTTTCCCTTCACATTTACTTACTTGAACAGAATTGACTGTTTCCCGATTTGAGTTTTCTTCTTCCTACAACAGTAAAATCAGTTCAAATCTATATTAGTTAAGAATTAATAAAATTACTCTACAAATAATTACTGCCAGTGAGACGCTGTCGAACACCAGTGGGTCACTTGGTGTTCCCTCTCCATGGTAGACTATCACTTCTTGTTCCAACGCAGAGTGGTATTTTTGTGTAGCTTATCTGTGTAGCCAGTCTAATTAAAAACGTATAGATAGCGTATTTCATAGTGTTATCTTCATGCACTCTGTGTATTCACTCACTAATTATAGTCACAGTATTCACTCACTGTGCCATCAGGGATTCGCTAGCTTAGCTTGGCCTGTAGCCAACTCACTAGCAGCATGGCCCTTTCACCTGTACCTCCTGCACTTTCTTGCTCATTGTGTCAGATTACTTTTGTTACTTTTGTGCTTAATTACTCCTTAGCCTCCTTTAGCAATAATGATACTATTTGTAAACTATTTGCAGCTCTGGAGGCCAGGATCACAGAATTGGAGACTCTGCTTCGCACCCTTAAACATCCCATAGCTAGCAAGGCCCCTTTAGCCCAGCAAAGCAGTGTTTAATATTAACCTCTTACTACTGTTTCTTGATTTCTTGATTTGTGTTTATTTCTTCCTAGCACAACAAAAACATTTCAGTTTTAGTAAAGAATTAACAAAATGCACTGCATTATTACTGCCAGGCACATTTTTACAATATACCAGATAATTCTAACAAAAATTCACCTCTGTACACTAGAATAAAATGTTGTTTTGAAACAAATTAATTACCTTTAACAGCTTGAGTTCTTCTTGAATTTCATCTTGGTCCAGCTTTTGTGATCAAATTATCAATTTCTCGATCATCAAGCACAGACTTTCAGCATCGATTTGTTCATCTGTCATTAAAAATAAATTTGCAGAGATAAAGTTTATTCTCAACTTGCTTCAGAAATTCTTGTTAATGACTGAAAAAGCAATGCAGCACAGTCTATATAGCTGTTTTACAGTTTACAGATCACATCGAATCAATATCTGTACCCATCCAGATTCACGTTAATACTTTACCTTTAAATTTTTCCACCCACTCACTTAGCCCCCATTCAACCAGTTTGGTTCTTACGAAATCATCCATGACCAAGAAATGTAAGATAAACTGTAAGATAAAATGCAATATTTAACCAGACAGTACTGCTTTACAGGTTAGACATTCGTGATCGACTTCTCCTTTAATGCATATATAATCAGAGACAGTGATATTAAATTCAGATTAAAAGTTCAACGCTCACCTTTTGTTAGAAGTAATCGCTAGGAAAAGGCTGCTGAGGGAGATAATAATGGATTGGATTTATATAGCGCTTTTCAAGGCACCCAAAGCGCTTTACAATGCCACTATTCATTCACTCTCGCATTCACACACTGGTGGAGGCAAGCTACAGGTTGTAGCCACAGCTGCCCTGGGGCAGACTGACAGAAGCGAGGCTGCCATATCGCGCCATCGGCCCCTCTGGCAAAGTGTAGGTAAAGTGTCTTGCCCAAGGACACAACGACCAGGAGGGAGAGCCCGGGGATCGAACCGGCGACCTTCTGGTTACAGATACGCTTCCCAACCCCCTGAGCCACGGCCGCCCCGATGTGAAGTAAGCAGTGAGACACAGACAGAAAACAGGCGGGAAGAAAGCAAAAAGGTCCCAGTCACACAGACTTAAAGAGATGGTTAGCGAAGGGCATATTCCCCAACCCCCTATGAATTAAGTTTTTAGATTCAGTCATTTATTGGTTTCTGGAAGGTTGCCAGGGGGCTCACTGACAGTCTGTATAAGCAACAGACTGGACCTCTACTTTGTCTCAGGCAGGCTTATTATACTGCAGTATAATCCTTACCTGAACAAATCAGCTGCTTCTTCATGCTCCTGTTTACACTGCAGATAAAAAGTGCAAAGCTGTGTACAATACTGAGCAGACTTTAAGATGTATTCAAAATGTAAAATAAATAAATAAATAAAATAAAAAAATAATGCAATTTGTTGTATAGATACTTTTGTAGATACTGAATCAGAAAGAAAAACTTTTTTTTAACTTACTTGAAAAGACATGTTGACTGTTACCTGATTTGTGTTTTGTGGTAAAATGAAATCGCAAAACCATATTAAATTTTTCAAAATTACACTACAAATTATTTCAATGTTACAGTTTTGTAATATACAGGTAATTCTAACAAAAATCAGCAGTTAGTTACTTTTCACAGCTTGAGTTTCTTCTTGAATTTCACTCTTGGTCCAGCTTTTTTGATCAAATTTTCAATCTCTCGATCATCAAGACAATACAGACTTTCCTTGTCAATTTGTTCAGCTGTAATTAAAGATTCAGTTGCGAAATGAAGAATTGCTCTTAACTACTTCAGAAATTGTTTTTTAAATTATTTTTAAAGAGTGAAATAGCTATGGGAACAGAAAACTCTCATTTTTCTGTCTTGACCTCAGGACCTGGCGTTCACATATTGGGACATCACATTTTGGGTTATCTAGACCACAATACTAAATTTTGCTCTTTCAAATGAGCCACATTGCTCAAAGGGGCACAACTACTATTTCTCATTTTGTTTTTATACTCAGGAAAAATGTTGCTGTGTTCAGACACCAAATAAAGAGTTTTGCACATCATTACTCAATTGTGACTTTATAGTGTTCAATAGAACACTATAAAGTCAAATAGCAAAGAAAAATTTAAAATGCAATCCATGAAAGAGTTCGGGTCTTAGGAGATTAACACATTTTGTGTAGTATGAAAAAATATCTCAAGTGTTTTTGTACTCTCTGAATGAAAAATGTTAAGGCCGTGGGATGTAGGGTAATGGGATTGCTGCAGCATGCAAAAAATAGATAGATAAGATGTTTGAAATAGTCTAAACACTATTCCAGATGTTATTTTTGCCTAAAATGTTAGATTTAATGTGTGATTAAATGAGTAAAAATAACCTGTGAACTCATCTGTCATGAACACACTGACCTCCACCAGGTTTGGATTGGTGAACACTAGAGTGCTGAGTAATAAAACTTTTATCTTAAAGGATTTATTTATGACCCAAGGACTGGATTCTGTATAACTGAGACATGGTCAAGGGCCGGTGAGTCCAGCGTTTTCCCAGATCTCTTACCAGATGACTTCTTTTTAAACTCTCCTCGAATATCAGGCATAGGAGGAGGCCTAGCGATTGTTTTTAAGCAGTATAAATGTAAACCACTGTCCTTATGAACATCACCTAGTAACTTTGAACTGAGTGTGTCTCACACAGTGCTCTGTGCTGTGGTTTACAGACCCCCCAAATACAATAAGGACTTCTTGAATGACTTTTCTGATCTGTTGGCTGAAATTATGCCAAAATACCATCATGTCCTTATTGTTGGGGACTTCAGTATTCACATGTGCTGCCCTGACAAGCCAATGGCAAAGGACTTTTTCAATCTTATCGATTCCGTTGATCTTGAGCAACCTGTGTCTGTGCCTACACAAAAATACGGGCACAAGTTGGATCTTGTTATAACTCATGATTTACCTGTCTCTAACTTAGAAGTTTGTGATATTGTCCTCCTCCTGTTGTTGCTCGGTGCTGGCGTATTTTTAACCCATCCTCTGCTGGTAAGTTCTCTGTTGTTTTTAATCAGAACTGCAGACTTCCTGATTCTGTATATAATGATTCAGAAGAGCTGAGCACATGGTTTTACTCAGTCTGCCAAACCGTTTTAGATTCGGTGGCCCCCTTTAAGCTTAGGCAAGTTAAAGCCAAATCTGAACCCTGGCTGAATGAAGACACCCGTGCTGCCAGAAGAAATTGTAGGAGAGCTGAACGTAAATGGAAGCAGGATAAACTTCAGGCGTCATACCAAACATTACAGAATTACTGAAATTCTTATCAGAAAACTGTAAAAAGATGTTAAGAGGAAACATTTTGCTGCTATTATTCAGACAAATTGCCGTAAGCCTGATGCCTTATTTAAGACTATTGACATGGTCTGTCAGGATCCTGGGTCTCCTGACCCAGTGTTGAGTTTCTAGTGTCTCAGTATTTTTTTTATTATGATGTATGTTCTATGTTCTCTTTGTTGTCCCAGTTTATTCTATAGAGTCTAGTGTCTGAGTTTGGGTTGCTTGTATTCTCTTTAGTTTTCTGAGTATTTAGTAGCTGCCCTCTGTGCCTCCTTTATGTTGATCTCTGTGTTTCTTTGCTGCTCTGTCTCCCCTGTCAGCTGTATCTCCTAGTCAAGTCTGTGTCTCTGTGTTACATTTCCTGTTTTACTTTGAAGGTCTGTGTCCTATGTGAATGT